ATGCATACACTACCATAGAGGTAAATATAATTAGAAGACTCGCGTTGTGGATAACAGCTAGACACAATAGCTCACACACAAAGTAGAAATGTACAAGTCACCTAACAACAATAAAGAAATACCCTTTCAGTCTATACTCTAAAACCTAATTTTGATAAAAAGTCAACCGAGGTCAAAGTCAACAGTCAAACGTGAGTCGACCTACACCTTGCATACAAGTTTCTCTATGCTTAGAGTATAGATCTAGATGGGAATGAGTCGAGGCTATGCTATGCTCAACATAAGGGAATTTATGCCTAACATAACAATCGGATGGTCAAAAGTCCTATTAAACTGTTAATACATAAAGTTAACACCTCAAACTTCTAGATATGAACCAAAAGAACATTCTAATGGATAAAGTTTTACTTTATATTTTTACATGCCAATAATGAGCAATAAAATCAAACCCTAAGTCCATGAAGTATATTAATGCTCAAGATCTCATGCATGGGATAGATGGGAATGACCAAGCTCCTATTTTTATGATTCAACAACCCCACAACATCAAGAATTGGTCTTCAAGTGGTCTAGAGTAATTCATACTCTTAAGAACCAAAGTTATAGGACAAATATCATATAAATCGATGACTAAATAAATCTAGTAGAATGAATACCAATATGGAAAATTTATACCTTCTAAGGGTGGAATACAATATGATGGATCAGTATCTACAGGGATTGAAGCTCCTAAATGCTTTTCTAATGATCTTTTCCTTTAAAGAGATACACAAGAACACTTAAAGACCTCAAATCTCTCACAAAGAAGCTAGGGTTTAAATGGATTGGATAGAAGGGTGGAGGCTAGGCATGAAGAGGCCCTCAAGGAGTAAGAGCCTATATATTGGCTCACAACCCAAAGAACTAGGGTTTTTATATTGTGCCATGATTCCATGCGTAGGATATCCTACACCCAACAAAGTGCATTAATTCCCCACATTAATTCTTCCTCCTACGCTCAGCCTGGGGGCTATCCTACGCCGAGCGTAGGACATAAAAAGCTATAAAAGACCAAATTGACTCTCGGAAATTCATACCTATGGATACAAGTGTTACATTAAGGCCTTTTATTATTATTTTCATGTCTCATCATCCATCTCTCTCATTATTCTATTCATCCCTCATTACCCATTTAACCAATATATTATAGGTATGAAAATACGTATATAGTAAATCGTATAAAAATCATCTTATATTATTTCGTCTAACACATAACATTTTAAATACAAGCACACATAGCATTTTATTATCTAAATACTTTAAATCTATGCTTAAGATGAAAGTAACTATGCACTCACTTGATAAAACTAGGTGCCTCAGAATTGGCAGAACTTCACCTTGGTATTTTAGCTTTTCCTCTTATAGGACTTGGGTTTAATTATCACTAGGTCTTAGTTTAATATTTTTTATGACTAAGGATAGTCTAGATTCCTCATAAATCCCATTGTCAACATCAATATATATCAAGTAAGGAACAACTAGGTATGACCATATCGAAGGTACGGTCTGTTTGGTATACATAGTATACTGTTTGGAAATCCTACTTTAAACACCTCACTAAATCCATCCTAGACATCATATCGGAGGTAGTGTCTGTTTAGTATACATAGTATACTGTTTGGTATACAATAATTCCTCCTCTAACCCTCATCATTTTGGTCCCTCGTGATTTGACTTCTCTTTTTGGAGTTTAATTGATGAAACTTTGGAAGTTTGAAATGGAGATGAGAAAGTAGGTGTCGAAGTTATGCTCATAGATATTAAGACTTCATTAAATCAAGGAAGTTATACTTTCTCCTACCTATACCTGGTTATACCCTTAGTCGTTGTTATGAATCTATAAGTACTAGATTAGTCATTTATTCTAGTTAAATGTTTTGATTGGTCTATTTATAGAACAAGTGTCTAGGATAGACACGTTGTCTAGGTTATTGGATTTCAAAAAAGCTATATGGCGAAATGATCCTGCCTACCCAACCGTCTTGACTCATTGATCCTTATTTGATAGCATGAATGTATGTTTAAGATTAATGAAGGATCCAAAATATTAGTTGTTATACTTAAATAGCCAGTAACCAGTATAATATATTATAGGCTGTGTTCGTGTTGAACCGTCCGTAAATCAACCTACTTAACTGCTTCACGAATAGTTTAAGTGAGTTTTCTCGATATACTATATTTTACACTATGTATCCGTTGTATATTAGGATATAGTTATACTATAATGTGTTGTTAGGAAAGTAGCTTAGCTTAGTCAGTTGCATGTTGGGTTGGACTGTTTATTTACTTAACTATTATATATGTTAATATATTTGTATGAGGAGTTGACGAAAGAACGACAAGAGGTCGTGAGCCTATAGACTTGTGTTGACGATGAAAGAAAAATAGGTTGTGAGTCTAGATACACACGCTACTAGTGGAACGACGAAAGGTCTTGAGACATTGGTTGTATGTATTTGTATTGTACTGTGATAAATGGTATTTTGAAGAACTTACTAAGTCTTGGCTTATAGCTGTTGAATAAATGTTTTTCAGGTTGCTCAATCGATCGAGGAAAGGCTAGCTCCAACATGACTGTACTCACATTGAAGAAATAATTATATTTTTATCCTTCCACTAGACTTTCTTTTATGTCTAATAGATGCATGAATATGATATTTTAATGAAAATGGGATTTTGGAGCTACTATATATATATATATATATATATATATATATATATATATATATATATATATATATATATATAATATGAAAATTTTGTGTTGAAAATTAGGACGTTACACTATTGATGTGTTCTGTATATATTGACATGTTATTTCAGTAGTTGGTTGCCATTTGAAGGGTTCATATAGAGGGGAAATGTTTGTTGTTGTCATAAAATATGCTAACAATAGTATATTACTCCATATAGTTGGGGTTGGTGAATTTATCAACTCAGACATTTTGTTGTTTGAAACATATATTTATGTGTTATTTTAAACAAGCACAAAGGAATAATTCATGCAATACAAAATCTTTAGGAATTGGAAAAGCCATTATCATATCATCGCTTATGTCTTTGACACATTAGAGGTAACTTCATGCAAAGGTACAAGAACGTGAGTCTTAAAAAGACTTTTTGGTCTATTGGAATCACCACAAAAAAGAAGAAAGCTTGTTACATATATGAAAGGAATAAAAATGTCAATCTCGAAGCTTGATAATATATAAAACAAATTACAAGAAGTCACTGGTGTTTTTTATAAGACGAAAATCTTCGATTGGGTTTCTTAACAACAAATATCTCTGAGTGTGTGAGCAATACACTTCAAGGAGCAAGCCAGTTACCAATTAGATATTGTATTGACCTTACATTCAATATAACTATACAACTTTTTAGAAAGTACAATGATGTTGTAATGAATTGTAATACACATTTACCATCATGTATGTGATGTCACTTTTTGAAAATGAGAAATTCATGCACAAAGCCTTAAATTAACTGAGTTTGAGTATAATTAAGGTGTCTACAAAATTATCACAAAGTTACAAATGAATGGCAAATAAGGAAATATGCACAATGTCCATTATTTTCAAGGAGCATGCAAAAATGTGGTAAGTGGAAAATAAAAAGATTTTCATGTTTGCATGCTATTGCAATTTGTAGTTATAGAGGAGATGACCTTCTTTCTATTGTAAATATTGATTACTACGATATATAAACAACAATATAGGTTATCTTTTGTCCCACTTTCCCACATTGGTAATTGGTTGGAGTCGGATTGGAAGATTGAAGCAGGTAACTCGAAACTTTCTATTCATTAAGAACGGATGTATGAAAATCGATTTCATAACGGGATGGATATTCTTCATCCCGACGAACCTCACAAATGTAGACTATGTAACCAACATCGTCATAATAGAAGAAATTGTCCAATTTCAAAGCTAAGATTCAATGTGGTATGGATTTTGTAACATTTTAAATTAATGTTGTAAGTTATTGTTTAACTTGTATGGTAAATTTATGCTTAATTTGTATTATAATATCGTTTTTTATTGTTCTTATAATTTCATTATGTTGCAATATATTCAATATTTGTATCTATTTGAAGGTGTTTGTAAGAATTATTTAAGGATATAATTTGTAAAAGAATAATACATAAGATATAATCATATATCATGAAATAAATTAATTTATATATAATATTTAATAATGGTAAAATAATAAATTGTGAAATTGTGAAAGATATAAATAAAATGAGATAAAAGTTGGTTAAATTAATAACATATAAGGGTTATAAATGAAAATATATCATTTGTTTTGGAGTAGAAAATGTTAGAAATGGTGGGCCTCTTCGAACAAACTTAGTTTATTATTTTAACAAGATATTTAAAACTTAATATATTTCTATAATATTTTTTGAAACAAAAACCTAGTTTAAAAATAAATAAATAAATAAATAAATAAAACTTATTTCTATTGTAATCATTTTTGTAAATAGTCAAGTAATTAAAAGGTTCTTCGGTTTCTGTCCACGGCCATATATTATATGGACTGAATCATATTAATTCTCTATATTATCTTATTGATTGCGAAACAAAATACATAATTATTTTAGTAAATAACTCTATATAAAATAAGAACCCTGTCATAAAGGTCTATTCGGTTAAGATGCAAAATCTTACACCAAAGATTCAAGGTTTAAAAGTTAACACATCCAAAATATTGTTGATCTTCTATTAGATTTTTTTTTTTCAAGTAAAATGAGAAGCTATATGGTTTTTATTTCTTTAATAACGAATCGTTGATAATTAAAACTCTGAAAATTCTTACTGTTGAATTGGACAACAGTGAACATTTAAACGTGGGAGAAAAGAGACGATTAAGTGGCCCAAAATTGTACAAAGAGGAGTCTCTCTCTCTCTCTCTCTCTCTCTCTCTCTCTGCAAGATAATGAAGCTTAATCCAACCTAAAATCCATGGCAAAACCTGGCGATCGGATGGATGATGATAAAGAAGCATCAAAGTCAAACAACCAACTGGTAACACCAGTAAAAGAAGAAGATTACGATTGTCAAACTCCGACCTCTAAAGATCACAAGATCCAGTCTCCGCGGTTCCACTTGCCACCACCACCGCCATGTAAGAGAAGAAGGAGGTCGACGGAAGATGGTCAAAAATCATCGGAGGAGTTCTTCGAAGAAACAAGGCGAGAAGAGGTTGATGCGTTTTTCCGACTGTTCACCATTAGGGTTTCTTCATCTTTGTCCAGGAAAAGGCGAAGTCATAGTTTATGATCGTAAGTTTTTGTTATACATTTTTACACGTTGATTTATATATGATCTTGGAAGCAGATCAAATTCATTTGTAAAAAAAAAAAAAAAAAAAAAAAAAGTAGCGTTTTTTCCATCGATCATATATTCCTGTAATTAATGAAGTTTCTTCAAGATTAAGTAACCGTTACAAACGATAAAGTAACCGTTTCTTCATTTTGACGAATAAATAAAAAGCCAATGGAATTAATTATATATGATGATGATAAATAATCGAAATTATCACTTATCCGTTTTATTTTCAAGACTGTAATATCTATGGTTGTGCTGGTATATCGAAGAAATGAGTTTTAGATATCCGTTAATTTGTTGACTATAAGGCCAGGGGTCATAAAAGAGTTCATGTGCACATGAAACTTCGTTTTTTCTTTCAAGACACCGGAGGGAAAGATCGATAAGTTTCAACTTTCAACCATCATTTAGGAAATGAACCAAAAATCGCACAGTAAAATGCTTTACTTTTACCTAACAAACAAGTTTATGTTGTTTCTTAAAGGCGTCACAAGTTTATGTGTATTTTGGATTCAAAATTAAATGATTGATGCTTTAATTGAATTTCTTTTAGTGTGTAGTGTGTACCAACATCTTTAACCTTTTTAGAGAATGGACTTATTTCCGAATATCAACATACTTTTATTTTTGAGGATGGTTATAATTAACCAAAGCTTTTTTTAGGGTGCTGCTTGTTAGTTTATTGTGATATGGTATTAATGCTGACTTTTGAGTGTTTGGTTTTATAAAATAAGTATGTTTCTTGAATTAAATAAATAGTTTTTTTATAAGTTGTTTCAAGCTTTTTATTTTGGGTGGAAACCAATTTACTAATTTCTATTTTACCACAGTTTTATCCTTAAAAAATTATATGGATTGTAGCTTAATTTTTAGTTTTTTCATGATCGGCAACCTATTAATTTATCTTTTTATCTATGTCATTTTAATATTTTTCCTCAATTTTTTTTATAGATATAGTTGTCGAACATTTAAAAAAAAAAAAAAAAAAAAAAAAAAAAAAAAAAAAAAAAACCCTATCTTATTGTGTTATAAAACTCCGCTTTAATTAGTTAAATACTTTTCCAACAAAATATATGTTTATGTTAGATAAGCGAATCCCAAACACACTTGGATTCCTTTAACATCTTATGCTAAGTACGTACCATGCCAACAGTCTCTTTGTTCAACAACTTGATAGCAATATGTTACAAAGAAAAAGGTTCTATTGAATTATTTATGTAGCTATAGATTGTATAACATTTTTCATTAGAATTTCATGTTTTATCCAATGCAATAAATTATTAGTTAAATACATAAATAACTGGACAATAAAAAAAAAAGATACAGTTTCTTAAAATAAAATCACAGAGAACTTATAAAAAAAATCCACAATTACTTTTTTCTTTATTCAATGGACTATTGGATGCTTATTGTTTATTGTCGTGCTCATCTTCGACGCTCTGGTTTCAACAAGGCTACTATGATTGAGCTGTCAGTACAAACAAATTGATTCGGGCCGGCTGGTTCCAACCATCCCCAAACACCGCTTAGTATGCAACGTCCTAATAATCCCAAGCTCACTTATATATATATATATATATATATATATATATATATATATATATATATATATATATATATATATATATATATATATATATATATATATACATGTGAAACAGCTTAATTTTGTGAGATCGTAAGATACATTTTTTTATTTTTTATTTTATTTTTATTTTATTTTATTTTTTTAGTTAATTCAAGTTCTGAAAATAATATTTAAAAAAAGAATTTTTGGATTTTTCCATTTATTTTGCATTTTAAAATTATTTTTTAGGATATGTACAGTATAATATTCTATTAAAATATTTCACGTATTTTAAAAAAAACGGGATTTATTATTATTATTTTTATTATTTTTATTTTTTTTAGTTAATTCAAGTTCCGAAAATAATAGGTAAAAAAAGAATTTTTAGATTTTTCCATTTATTTTGCATTTTAAAATTATTTTTTAGAATATGTCAGTGTAATATTCTATTACAATATTTCACGTATTTTTCAAAAAGACAAGATTTTTTTTTATTATTTTTTTTTAGTTAATTCAAGTTCCGAAAATAATATTTAAAAAAAAAAAATTTTGGATTTTTCTATTTATTTTGCATTTTAAAATTATTTTTAGATTTGGTCTCACAGTATCATAAAATTATAAATGGTCTCAAATTTAACCTGAACCTATATATATATATATATATATATATATATATTATATATATATAAAATTAAATAAATCATAAAAGAGTATTTTGGACCTTTTGTACTTTTAATTACGGAAATCATTTAATTGAAATCCTACAATTATAGAAATAAAGTAAATGTATCTGACCTAGTCCTTCACCTTCGTTTCCTGCATCATTTTCGTCTGTTGTCATCGATCTAAACCATTTTAATCAACCTTCATCTTCTAGAACATCTTTCCCCTTAAACCCGACAGGAAAACGAGTGAGGGATGAGAGAACTTGGTGGTGGTCGATGATTCTATGGGTGTTTGGTTGTTGTTGATTTACAGAAAGAACGATGGAGGAAGGATTTGCAGCCATTAACGTGGGTGGTGACAAACAGCATCTCCGATGAGGGTGGTTTGGCAGCGAGGATCGACGGGAAATAAGTGAAGGGTCTCCGATCTTTGACTGGCCGTAGGAGGTGTTATCATTCATCGATCAAGGGGTGTTTAGCTGGTTTACCGGTCGTCGATCATCAATCAGGTAAAAAAAATCTCTTTTTTATTTGGTGTTTAATAGAAATCATTGGGGTGTTTGGGTTTCTCTGGAAAATCGATATAATAAAGGGGATATGGGTTTGAGTTTTGAAAGAAATCCATGGGTGTTTGGATTGGATGTTTGAGCTTTGGTGTTTTGACAGGGAAAATGAAGGAGAAGCAATGAAGGTTTAATGCCCCATTTTCTTGATTGATTTGTCAAGAACAACACCGTGTTCTTGACTGGAACATGATACTCATAAGAAGAAATAAGGAAACCGGATGTTGCTTCTTTGGTGATTTATCGACTGTCAGTCAAAAGGAAATACATGTTGAAACAGAATAAAAGTTAATTTAAAACTCAATCAAGTATCTTATTTTCTTTATTGATTACAATATTCTATTATTTGAGATTTGATCAGTGTGCTTCGATTTTAGTGCAATTGGATGGTTTTGTTAGAACCAAATTAACGGTTACCCTAAAAGTGTTTGATAAAATGCCAAAGAGAAATATTACCATATTGATCGCTCAACATGTCATGGACTCAAATTGTATTCATGGTTAGTGATTGAATTTTTATCGAATGTTTATCGATTCTGCATATCATCTCCATTGTTCTACTGATTTATGCATTTTTCACTTT